ATTCATGAGCTAATTTCTAGGGCTTTTGATTTTCCTGTGAGTTTATTTGTGTTTATTCTTACGCATTGCTTTCAAACACTTAATCAATGGTTCAATGATTTTAATGCTTTAAATCTCAGTACTCAAGAGATGGAGATTTAGGCACGATCCAAGAATAACACAACCTAGATTTCGTAGGTCTCGAGAGAAAACATGAAATCTTTGAGGTTCATCTATTTAAGAGCCACATTCTTGATAATTTCTATATTTTTAATTTGGAGTAGAGATATTGAAATTAAAATATAGAGATAGGTTCTATTCGGCACTCGAGCTAGAAAATAATTAATTTAGGGTTATTGCCTATAAACATAGGAAGAATTGATAGAAGTAGCTATAAAGATTAAGAAACATTGTTGATAGTGCAGTAAAATCATTCCCTAGGTTTTCTCACGTTGACAAATCTCGTATAATTTGCTTTTTTTTACTTGAAATTGCCACCACATCCAAATTAGATTAGTATAAAAATATTTATTCTAAACTTGATTTTCTAGATAAAGTAAAAGCTAAAATAATTATAGCTTTAGTAGGAATTAAATACCAATCACTATGGGTTCGACATTATTACTTGATACTACAAACTTGACACCATACACTTGTGGTATAATTTACTAGGACTGAACATGGTCCGGTTCGGTTCTAACGAGAGCCGTTTGGGTTCGGTTCCATTCTATTTCGTATTATAATTAAATTTTTTAATATATACAAAGTTATGTTAATTTAATTAATGATATGTTCAATATTAGCTCTTACAAAATAACGTAGTTCAATCTTATATATTTCACACCTCTCTTTGTTGAATTCTTCATAAATTTGATAATTAAATCACAGAAAGAGAAAGATAGCGAGCTCAAAATAATTAAGAGAGATATTGTAGAGCCTTAATTCGATTTTCTTTGGTGGAAACGACACCACAGTAGAATAACAGATTTGGACAAAATTGAGGTCAATTTGATTAAGTTGATTTTGAACTGAAAATTAGAAATAGGAAAATCATATTTTGTGGTTTGAACTAAATTAATTAGTTAACAAATTTATTTAGAAAAAATAAAATAATTTTACTTATTTAAAATAAATTAATTAAAAAAATTACAGAGATTCGGTCCTTATTCGATTCTTCGGGTCTTGGCCTAAAACCGAGAACCGAACCATACCTGTCGGTTCTTGATTCAAATACCCGTTTGGGTATTTAATTTGAGAAGAACCGTTGGATTCGATTTGGTTCGGTTCAATCGGTTTGGTTCGGGAGTTTTGTCCAGCGCTATAATTTACGTTGTACAAAACATGTAACATTGCTTGACATGCCAATCTTCATTATCGAGAACCACTTGCAAAGATTTAGAAGACCGTGTATTTGACCCAGTCTTTGAGTTCCTATCCTACTCATAACTCTGACTGGATAAGGAAATTAAATCCTAATTCGTAAATAGAATTTCATCCTCTTTGTCTTGAATTACCTCGAAAATTTTGTGTAGTAGTGAAATCGTGATGAGTAGCAACTATCTTCGAAATAACCACATTGTCTTTACAAGTTATCTTCCTTGTGTCTCAAAAATCAATCACATTGCAATACCCTCAATTGGAATCTTCATGTTCAATCTCGATGACATTTTTCCTCACCGAAGTTATGCAAATAGGAGTCATTGTGCAATTTTGGTTTTATTCAATTAGCAACTTCACTAGCACTTTAGGCCCCTGTTTGACCCCATTAATTTTCATTTAATTACATTTCATTTTTTCTCTTGTATTTTCAACCATACAATCTTCCATAAAATATTATGTAAATCAAAAACTTTTTCCTCCGTCTCAACCACTTACTTTTCAAAAAAAATATTATTCCACCCATTTTCATTTCCACAAAATGGGGACAAACGGGGGCTAGAAGTAATTTTTATAGGTGGAATGGTTGATTGCTCATTAAGCGCTCGTTTGACCCCCATTACCTGAAAATGAAAATTGGGGGAATAGTATTTTTTAGAAAAATGAGTGGTTGAAAAAGAATGAAAAGTTTTCGATTTATGTGTAATATTATTTTATAGAAGATTGTGTGGTTGAAAATAGGAGAGAGAAAAATGTAATGTAATGTAATTGAATTTAATGGGGATCAAACGGGGGCTAAATAAAAATCCCAATTTTATATTGTATTGAGATGGATCGACATTAACCATGTTTTGTAAATCATAGCACATTCAGCATATGATGTACTCGATATTATGACAATCCCAACAACACCATCTCTTTCACTAGTCCATTTTCATTCATTTGAAATTCACCAGAAGTAACAAATCAAGAGACATGCTGATCCTATATCTGCATCATGAATCAAATTTTTTTTTTTTAAAAAAGATTAACTACAAAAAAAAATAAGGGTATTGAAAAAAAAATGATGGCCATGATGATGGCTGCTAGGCCCTTAAAATTAATATTTTCAGATCTAATCTATGTAGATGATTTTTTCCTCATCTTTTGCTTTAAAATTTATAGATCTGTTTAATAAATGTAAAAGTTTATCTACATATCAACATATGTCGAAATAAGATTTTGCGATTAAAAGAGTATAACTAAGTTAACGAAAATGAAATTATATATATGTAAATACACTTATCGATTCCAAGTGAAGGATATAAATGAAATTTTTTTTTAGCGTTTGATAAATTTTTGAGGTTTTAAGGTTCATTAGATGAAAAAATGAAATAATCTTTATCTATGTTAAGGAAAACATATAAAGAAAGTGATTTGATTTTGAAATTTTAAGTTGGAATTGTTTATTTTCCTTTTGTAACTTAGAAAGGTATTATTGTCTTTTTATCATAGCTATATTTTTGTAATTTATCCCTACTGTTATTGTTATCTTTATGTTTCGTTGTTAAGAGGCCATTGTGGTGAATAACTAATAAGTTAGGCTCATGTCATCAAGTGGCATCTAGACTTGGCCAAACTAAAAACTCTCCTTAAGGGAATGCTGCCATATTGAATCTAATATCTATTAGATAAAATTAATGTGAATAAAATCTGAAATATAAGAAAACAAAAACACAACAGGGTGTAGTCTCAAAATTTAAGAATGATTTCAAATCGAATAAATACAAAAATATATAACAATTTGAGCTATTACTTTTAATAAGGTTAACATTTTAAGATTAAATTTCAAATATTCAAATGGTATCCCTGAATGTTCTAGGATAGAATCATAAGTGTTAAACTTTAATATTTAATTCATCCCTAAATATTCATTACGTATAAGTCCCTTAACATACCTATCCCTTCAAAAGAAAATAAAAGCCAAAAAACAATAGTCGTTGCTCAACTTTTAGTGAGATTTTATATTAGTTATTTAAGTTTATTTTGTCCTAAATTCATCAGTAATTTTAAACTTTAAATTCGAACTGGTAACTGAATTCGAACATTTGCTTTAATTTGCCACTTGTAGAGACTTCCATATTGATTCCTAAATCTCCATATTCATACAAAAATTGAACCTCTTCAAGTTAGGTTTTAAATTGAACTTGATTCCTTAATCATCTAATGAGTTTTTGAACTTTTGTTCGAGATAAATTTTTTCTAGAAATTTTATAAAGCTTTTATTATAAAAATTTCCTCTTTCACAAAAATAATTATTTTTTTAAAAGAAATTAATACTGCATATTAAAAGATCATCTTTAACTATAAGTTAAAACAACAATCAAAGAGTGTTGCAAAATATAATAAAAGTAACAGAAATGGTACGTCACAAAAACTTAACAACAATGTACATTTGAGGGTTTTTGCAACATGCATTACACGTTGCTGTATCTTTTCACTCTATGACAACATTAGAGCTTACAATATATAGGTGAGCATTGTAAAAAACCTTCTACAACATTTTTTGTCCGTTGCAAAAAACAATTTTTGTTGTAGCGATATTTTCCTCCAACTACATAATTTTTTAGCAACAAATATTTCTTGTCATAAAAAGTAGAATATATTGCATCACAAGCACTTTGTTGCAAGAAATAAAAGTTTGTCATCATAAGTTTCCCATCAAAAATATTTTGGCGCCTTTACTCATATTTTTTGTGACATACTTTAAAATTTGTTGCGACTTCTCATCTTTCACGACAACTTTTTATGTAACATTCCAATTTCTTGAAAAAGGCTCAAAAGGAGTCAAGTGTTATTTAATCAGAAAATAACATATTTTACAAGAGAAAGAAAAATTAAATGTAACAATCATTTATTTATCAATAAAAAAAGTGTCTTTCAAGATAAAATAAAATGAGGAACATTTATTTCCAAACAGTAACCAATTATTTAAAAATCTTTTGAAAATATGAATTCCTCTTTTTAAAATAAAAAAGATCCCTCTACCATCAACCGATTTCCAGCTCCAAACTCCCAATCTCTAATTACCTGAAAGGTGGGGAAACTTAGAGGGTGAGATCTAAGAAAAATCTCAATAAGTGTGTGTAGTGAACAAGTAATTTGTATTTAAACTATGGAAAACGGGATTTCTTATCATACATATAGGAGACACATGAAATACTCCGAACATAGGTGGTAGTAATTCCTGTGTGTAGTACTACTAAACTCCAGCCCTCTTATCATAATAAACATGTATGGCCCATAAAACAAATTCCAAAATTTAAAGTACAATGATACAAGTTCACATTCATTGTGCAACATCACTTACCTCGTAACTTGAATGGAATTGATAAGATGAGTGTGAAGTATTCAACTAAGAAGAGCCCACTTTTGAATTCTTGTGTGTGTAGGACAAATGAAGTGACTTTTGGTGTGTGAAGGAAATGAATGCCGTGTGTATGTGTGAAAATGGTTAATTATTGTCATGGATGGAAGAATGGAATCTTTCTTAGATATTCAACTCCTCACTGTAAGGTCCCAACTTCTAATATTAACGATTATAACGAATTTTTGGGGTGTTACAATCTACCCTCTTAAAATAAATTTTCGTCCTGAAAATTACCTCAGTTGACATTATCGAACAACTGAGGATACTTAGATTGCATCTCATCCTCACGTTCCCAAGTTGTATCATCAACTGAATGATGTTGCCATAACACTTTAACTAACGGTATCTCTTTGTTGCAAAGCTTTTGTACCTTTCTAGCTATAATGCAAAGTGGGGTATCCTCATAGCTCAAGTCCTGTTGAATTTTCATGGGTTGATGTTTCAATACGTGACTCGGATCAGGAACGTACTTCTTGAGTGTCGAAATGTGGAAGACATCATGTACTGTAGAAAGCTTTGGTGGCAAAGCCAATTGATAAGCTACACTTTCAACCTTTTTGAGTATCTCGAAAGATCCAATGTATCTTGGTCGCAGTTTTTCCCTTTTTCCAAATCTTAAGACACCTTTCATTGGTGTAACTTTTAAAAATACACTATCACCAACAGCAAATTCTAGTTCCTTTTGTCTTCTATCTGCATAACTTTTTTTATCTGTCTTGGGCGGTCTTTATGTTAGCTTAGTCTTTTCGATAGCCTGAACCTTAGTTCCATGATTTCAGGTCCTAAAATTTTACGTTCACCCACTCCATCCCAATGGATGGGCGATCCACACTTCCTTCCATATAAGGCTTCATACGGTGCCATACATTGAGGCATGCTAGCTATTGTTATATGCGCACTCGATTAATGGCAAATACTTCTCCCAATATCCTTCAAAATCTAGGACACATATTCAAATCATATCCTCAATTGTTTGAATTGTTCGCTCGAATTGTCCATCTGTTTGGGGGCAAAAATCTGTACTAAATTTTAGCTTCGTTCCCATTGCCCGATGTAGACTTTTCCAAAAGTTCGATGTCAACCTTGGATCTCTGTTTGACACAATTGAAATTGGAATGCCATGTAACCTCGCCACTTCATTAACATATAGTTACGCAAATTGGTCCAAAGAAAATGTCATTCGAACAAGTAAGAAGTGAGCTGACTTGGTCAGCCTATTGATGATTACCCAAATAGACTCATGACCTCCTACCGTTTTCGGAAAACCAGCAACAAAATCCATCGTTACATGCTCCCATTTCCATTATGGAATATCTAATAGTTGTAGCAACCTTGATGGTCGTTGATTCGCAGCTTTCACCTGTTGGCAGATTAGACAATTCTCAACGAACTCAGCTATGTCATTCTTCATATTCCTCCACCAAAATACAACTTTTAGGTCACGATACATCTTCGTACCTCCTGGATGTACTAAATAAGGGTGGTGTGGGCTTCTTCTAAAATTTCTTTTCTCAATTCCTCGAAGTCTGGTACACACAAACGTCCTTGATAATATAATGCGTTATCCTCAGTCACAGTGAACCCCTTTCGCTTTTCTGTACCAATTTCGAATTTTATAAATTCGAATAATTGATCGTCCTGCTGATGGTTCTTGATCCGATCGCGAAGTGTCGGTCGAACCAAGAGAGCTACTATCTGAGCGACAGTGTCTGATGAAGTCGTGACTACTTTGAGATTTAACTTCTCAAATTCCTTCCATAGAGATTTTTGTGATGTTAACATTGTCACTCTACTTGTTATTTTCCTACTTAGAGCATCGGTGACTACATTCGCCTTGCCTGGATGGTAATGAATTTCACAATCGTAATTCTTTACCAATTCAAGCCACCTTCTCTACCTCATGTTCAATTCTTTTTGAGTGAAAACGTATTTGAGGCTATTATGATCTGTATATATGTCACATTTTCCTCTGTATAGGTAGTGCCTCCAAATCTTCAAGGCGTGTATGTGGGGTAATTCTGTTCATGAGGTTTCATTTGTCTAGATGCATAAGCTACTACTTTTCCTTTTTACATATTACCTATTCCCTACTTGGATGCGTCACTGTATATTACGAAACCTTCCGATCCTTTAGGTATAGTTAACACTAGTGCATTAAATAACTTCTCCTTCAATTCTTCAAAACTGTGTTCACATTTCTCCGTCCATTCAAATCTCACACCCTTACGAGTCGACTGAGTTAAAAGTCCTGATATCTTAGAGAGCCCTTCTATAAATCTCTGGTAGTATCCTACTAGGCCCAAAAAGCTGCGAACATCTCCTACATTGGCTGGTCTCAACCAATTCAACACTGCTTCTATTCCTTGCTCTGTAACTACATGTCCAAGGAATACAATTCGTTCTAGCCAAAACTCGTACTTTTTGAATTTGGCATAAAGTTTCTCCCTTTTTAATGTTTCTAATACAATCTTCAAATGTTCCTCATGCTCTTCTTCAGTCTTTGAATAGGTCAAAATATCATCGACGAATACAATGACTAACTGTTTTAGGTGTTCATGGAAGATCTGATTCATTAAGTCCATGAACACTCCAGGATCATTAGTTAGGCCAAATGGCATAATTAAGAACCCATGTCCATACCAAGTTCTAAAGGCCGTCTTTGGGACATCAATAGATTTAATTCTCAACTGGTGGTATCTTGACCTTAGGTCGACCTTTGAAAATACCCTAGCACCACGTAATTGGTCGAACAAGGTCTCAATCCTAGGAAGTGGATATTTGTTCTTGATAGTGATTCTATTTAACTCTCTGTAGTCAATACACATTCGCATTGACCCATCTTTCTTCTTGACGAATAATATTGGTGCCTCCTACGGGGATATATTGGGTTAGATGAATCCCTTTTCCAACAATTCTTCTATTTGTGATTTCAACTCCTATAACTTCTTTGGCGCCATCCTATAAGGAGCCTTGGAAATAGGTACAGAGCTGTGAGTTAAATTAGTAGTGAACTCCTCTTCTCGTTCAAGAGGCATCCCAGGTAAATCCTCCGAAAAAACTTCTGGGAATTCTCGTACTATCTTGACATTTCTCACTGTCAATGCTTTATCTCTCTCAGCTAATACTAACATTAAGAACCCTATACACCCCTTTGACCTTAAGAGTCTTTGGGCTTTTAATGCAGAGATAACTCATGGTATGGGCTTTATCTTGGTCACTGAAAGGCGAAGTTCTACTTCTCCTAGCCATTTAAAGATCACTTCCCTCTCAAAGCATAAAATTGTTGCATGATTTTTAGAAAGCCAATCCATCCCCAAGATTATGTCGAATTCATGTATATCCAAAGCATATAAGTTCGTTTCCAAGGTCCTAGCATTAATTTCTACCTCAGCTGTCCTTACAATACGGTTTGTGGTGAATACATCTCCTGAGGGGATGGCAACCTCTAAAGGTGTATGTGTAAGTTCTCCAATAATAATTAGTGTACGCATAAATTTCAAAGATATGAAGGAATGAGTAGAGCCAGAATCTATCAAAACATAAGCAAGTGTGCCGGATATATGTTACCTACCAAGACATTTCGATTTTGATCCTCTTCATGTTCAATGAGGATGAAATCTCTAGCTTGTCCTCTAGGTGAGTTCCCTGGTTTCTGCTGCTGTTATTGTTGCTGCTGATGCTGCTATTTCTGCTTCTTGGGATAAAACTTTATTATGTTACCTATCTCACCACAATTGTAGCATGTATTAGTCCCCATACGACATGTCCCCACAAATGGGGAGTTCTCGATAATTGCTCGAAGTTGGCCCCCCTTTGTTCCTCTTTACTAAGTTCTGCATTTCTTTGCCCTTGTTGTCTTGCCATTTACGCTTCTCCGGTGATGTAGGCTGCTGCTGTTTATCGGTGCTGTTGGAGCTTTCTTTAAAATTAGCTAGCTGTACCTTTGCTAACACTTGGTGGTGTGTTCCCAACTCAAAGGTGACCACCACCTGTCAAAGGTCATCACGCAAACCCTGTTTTTAGCGTCTAGCTTTCTTTTCCTCCGTGTTGACTAAGAATTGAGTACGGCGAGATAATTCTTCAAACTTCCTTTCATATTATTCCAATGATAAGTTTTCCTATCTGAACATTAGGAATTCTGCTTCTTTTGGGTTTCAAATGTTGGTGGGGAAGTATTTTTGCAGGAATAATTCTTTATATTCATTCCACATAATGCCATGTCCAATCGAAGGTTGCACAGATTACCTTCCGATTTTCGGGGCACTCAACAAGTTCGAAAATTCGTTCCTGTTTGCATATCCACTCTTCTGCCGCTAGTAGATCTGTGCCTCCCTCAAAGCTAGGGGGTTGTAACTTGCGATATTGTTTCACTATTACAGCCACACTCCTCTCTGCAAGTGGTGGTGCAATAGATGTTGCGACGGATGGTGTCATGTTACGTATTGCTTCAAAAAACTGCATAAATTGGTTGCTTTGGTTGTTTTGTGGTCGTCATTCATTTCAGTAGCCCGGGCCTGGGGTTGCCTATTCCTATTGTTCGAGTTTCTAGAGCGGGTTGCCATTACCTTAATGAAGTGTAAATATAGAATTACTTAACCACAAGATTAAGAATGAAGAAAAAAATAAGGAAAGAAAATATAGCAAATTTTATGTCATTCAATCTCAATAATTTGCATAAACCAAATGGATTCCATGGTATCCAATTCATCCATTTATTCAGACAAATACTGCTTCAAAGATAATAGTCATACATAGCCCCCGTTTGACCCCCATTACCTGAAAATGGAATTGGGGGAATAGTAGTTTTTAGAAAAGTGAGTGGTTGAAAAAGAAGGAAAAATTTTCGATTTATGTGTAATATTATTTTATGGAAGATTGTGTGGTTGAAAATAGGAGAGAGAAAAATAGAATGTAATGTAATTGAATTTAATGGGGATCAAACGGCTGTATAATTTCCTATCATCTAAAAATTTCTCCCAGGGCTTTCATCTCGGCCTGCCTCTAAATTTTCCCCAGGGTTGTGCCCAAGGTCCTCCTCGGAATAGGATGCAAGGTGGTACTCATGGTCCTCCTCAGGGTCTTCTTCAGTATCTTCCCTTACCGCTTCCCCGATAATGTTACCGCTATTGTCAACTGCTGGTATACTTGGAAAATGGCCAATGCTAGGTGGGCTACATTGATGGTGACGATCAGGCTCGTATCCCAACGGCCTAACGATATTCCTAGTATCTTTAGTGTTTATTATCCACTTGTCCCTCAAACATAAAATCAATACGGTAGGGGAGGCTTGGTACTCAAACATTTCTTCAAGCCTCTCAAGAAACTGTCTCCAATATGGGCTAAGTGTTCTATGGAGATGATAGACAATCTTATCTCTACCTGCCCCCTAATGATTCGCTCTACGACGTCTAAATGCTCCAACAAGTTGTGGTTCGGATTCCTCACATACGTCCTATGGTTAGGAACATTTCATGTCTGCGGGCTTGGTCTCTAGCCGATTGCGTGCGTCTGTTAACCGTCTAAGGAAATAAATTTATAATCACTTATTCAATTTAAACCAATGGTTAAGCACATTATCTCATGACTAAACATGTTCCATAAACCATAATGGCACTTCCTAGTTGGATACGTACATTTCTTAACTTGTAATCTTTTAGTATTTATATATTCAGAAATCTTGAATTTTAAATTTTCATATGTCTACACTGCAAAATTTAGGCACATATAAAGAGAAGTTCCTATGTAAATAAGCACAATTTTCATAAATAAATTAAGTTCTAATTTACTTAATTGTAAATTAGTGCATATTCGTCCACATATTCACTGATTGACTTATCATCATCCTTCATAAAATTGCAAACTTTAAACATAGAACAAAAAAATATATAACATGTTAAGCATGATCATAACATAATCGCCATCATATGAAATGTAATTTAATATATCTTTCTACTTAATTCAAGAGCATCGGAGCTTGGAGCGTGGCATCATGTGATGGCATTCATATTAAGACCCTATTTTTATTATTATTATTATTTTTTGTAATAGTGACTTGAGTCACTGGCATGAACAGTGATGGAAAAAAAATTATTTTTTTTTGTCATGAACAGTGACTCGGGATTTATTTCCAAACGGTAACCAATTATTGAAAAGTCTTTTGAGAATATGAATTCCTCTTTTTAAAATAAAAAGATCCCTCCACCATCAACCGATTTCCAGCTCCAAACTCCCGATCTCTAATTACCTAAAAGGGGGGAAAACTTAAAGGGTGGGATTTAAAAAAAAAATCTCAATAAGTGTGTGTAGTGAACAAGTAATTTGTATTTAAACTATGAAAAATGGGATTTCTTATCATACATATAGGAGACACATGAAATACTCCGAACATAGGTGGTAGTAATTTTTGTGCATAGCGCCACTAAACTCCGACCCTCTTATCATAAACATATA